CCAATATTTTAATAATATTCATTACTTTTTAAATCAAAGTGTATAATTTCATCAGGTTGCATTTTCGTATCGTTTTCATTCAGACATAATATGATAATATGTCAGGACAAGAATTATACTGTAGTGGAATTAACCCAAATCTTATCCAAAATCTTGAGTGCTTTGACTGCGTATATTTTATTTCGTGAAGTTAGCACTCACTCTTAGCCGTTAGACTTTTTCACTCAAAAATTGCTTAAGGGTTCACTCAGTGCATCAATACAAAATTTTAATATTAATGCCAATATACTATGTAAGAAAGTCATGCCAAAAAATATAATAAAAATACATAATTATTTAGCGGTGTTTTTTCATTTAACAACCACCGGTTACGTCTACGGCTCTTAAATTCGTTATAAATGTCTAACACATTCAGTCCACGAATTTCTTTTTCATGTAACTTTAGTCTCCACACATGTTCCTCTGTTTTTTATTCCTTTTTTATTGTGTTATTATTTCTCTCTTGTATTGCAAGAGCTAGGGAAAATATTTAGTAATGGTTCTATATAAAATTTATATTTCATTTTCTCTTCTTTATTTTTTCCCCAAATATATCAGGCACATTACGCTGTTAATCTACTTTTAAATATAAAATATTTCCTCCGGTCCATAATATAAGCATTGTCCTTCAATTAATCTTGATTTAAAATATAAGCATCCGAACATGTGTAATTTTTTTTTTCAATTTTACCTATTGTATTTATTAATTAGATATTTGTGTAAACATATCTCTCACTTGTTGTGGAGTACATTGGTAATTAGGATAAATGATAAAAAAAACAATATTATATATTTGGGTTAAGGCTCAATTTTACCACTGTATTTATTTTTTAGGAGTGCTAGCCACTTTTACTCTTAAGTGAGTTAATTTTTTTTAAAATACTTTTTTTCAAGGTCAAAAAACGCCCTTCTATTAGTCAATCGTTAATTTTTTTTTATTTTTTTTGCTAACATAGCATGTGTGTGGGGTCCACACATGGTAACATGTAAGACTTTGATTTTATTTTTTGATGCTAATTTGCTCTTAAATTCTTTTTCTAGGAACACTAAGTATTCTAAAATATTTTTTAAAGAGCATTAGGCACCCTACAGTCTTGTTAAAATAAAATTTAATAAATATTATTAAATATTAAGTATTTTAATATTTAATAATTTAAATGTTATTATTTAAAATATTACACCACCTAACTTAATATTTTAATATTTTTGATATCTTGTAATTTTGTATTAAAAATGAAGGAAATGAACCTCCAAATTAACAAAGGGATTTTTTCTTCTCATCTCTCCATTTTTTTCTTGTTAAGTAACTTTTTTCTGTAGCACATTAATAGAATAAGCGATATCTTTTAAATAAATATTTTTGTTGACATTTGTTGGTCTTGATTTGTTATGCTTTTTATTTTACTCCTAACACTTTAATGTATAAAGAGTATTAAATTTGGATAGTACAATATTTTGAAGGAAGATTGTTAGTTGATAAAAAAAAATTATGAAAAATGACCTAAAAATTTAATAAATTTAACCAATATTAAAAATATAACTCAATTTTGACATGCACAAAAGGCATAACGATTTAGGCACTGTCTCAAATAGAAGATCGAAGATCGAAGATTGATTTATAAAAAATAAGAAGTCATTTATAAAATATTAGTTTGAGTTGTTAATATTTAAAAAGTAATTTATAAATTTTGAATGGATATTTATAAATAATAATATTTAAATTATTAAATATGAAAATACTTAATATTTTGGCAATATTTATTAAATTTTATTTTAATATGATTTCAAGGTGCCTAACGCTTCTAGAAAAAGACGTTACAGTGCCCAATGCTCTTAAAAAAAGAGTTTAAGGTCAAATTAACACCAAAGAACATGCTTAGAGTCTTACTTGTCATTATGTGTGGTCCCTGCGCACATGCTACATCAGTAAAAAATAGCAAAATTAATGGCCTCCTAAAAAATAGGGCATTTTTTGACCACAAAAAAAATATGTCAGGGGGAAAATTATCCCACTTCAAAGTATAGTAGTAAAATTCAACCTTGACTCTATATTTTTATGAGAATGATAGCTTTATTGTAAGGTCACCTACACTAATCCATCCTCATAATAATTCATCACAGGTAATCAATGAAATTATTCTCAAAGGATTACCCAACCATAGTTAATCGTTTAAGAGAAATTCAAAACCAAAATTAATTCTTTCAAAAATTGGGATCCTAAGTTTGAGTTTTAATAAAACCATTCAAAAGTGACTGTTATTACCCAAAAAATTTTAAACACAAATTTTTATGGAAGCATGGGATACCATATGCTGATCAAAGAGACTGAACACTAGTTGAAAAATATTAAAGAGGTGAAAAATAGAGGGACATGCCGTTGCTTAAATTCATAAAAAAAATGTCTCAAATTCAATCTCTAAATTTAAAAAAATGTAAAATTAATATTATAGAGGGATTTGGAGATGGCTAGTTTAGGAATAAAATTTTTCTTGTCTCTAAACTTGTTTCTAACATTTTAATTTTTTAAAAATTAAATTGTTTAATGAATAATGACAGGCGTCAACATGGATTTTGCTATTCTTTTTTTAGAGACGATATGTCTCAAAATATTTTTTTAAATTAAATCTATCTATAAAAATATAATTAGTCTCTATTTCTGTTTCTAAAAGAACCATGCTATATAATATGCTCATTCATTTCATAATTTCAATGCTAACACATTGGGTTTATAATATTACACTATTCATATGAGCAACACTAGTATTATTACAGAATATTACAGAATGCTAAATATTTGAAAAATATTCTAAAAAAACAAAAATATTCTAGATATTTGAAAAAAGTTTCATTAAGGAAGGAGAGATCTTACTTGCTTAGTATTTGCAGTATGGCTTAACTATCTCTGTTTTCTTTTCAAGCGAGCACCAAGCAAAGTGGGTGGGTATTTATAGGGGATGGGAGTGATTCTGGCGATGAAAAAGAGCCGGTGAATTACTCCTCAAGGAATTATCCTAGTATATATATATATATATATATATATATTAACATTATCTTCATATATCTATAAAATAAATTGGTTTATATATATATATATAAGGATAAAGAGATTTTTTTTTATCTGGTTACCGACTAATATATTCCAATGGATATATGTATATATCTGTATGTATGTATATTATTTTAACAAACATTTATATATTCATTTATTAGTATTATTAGTATTTGAGGTTATTACAGTTTCACTCTAAAATTGTCCAGGACAAGAAGAGGAAATGACCTATGCTCTAATAGAATATGAGCTATGCTCTAATAAAATTAAGAATATGATGGTGTGTATGCTTAGTAAGACTATTATGTTGAGGAGTGTAAGAACAAGAATACTAAGAAATAGTGCCTTGAGAATTAAAAAAGCTGAATAATCTAAAGTCACAATATTCCAAAATATTATCATTATGAAAATTTTTAATAACTTTAAAATACTGAATGTGAATCATAGTAGTACATTTGATATAAATTTTAGGTAACTCAGATTGAAATTTCATCATATAAATCCAAGTAAATTGAGAAAAGTTATCAATAAAAATCACAAAGTATTTAGATCCCGTATAGAAGGAGCAAGTGCAAGACCTCAAACATTAGAATGAATCAAATCAAATGAAGAAGCAGTAATAGAATCACTTTTATGAAAATATAAAGTGAGTTTTTTAGTAGTCTAATAAAAAATGCATTGCAAAGATTGATTATGAACATGGTATAAAAGATTATTAGAAATTAAAGCACGTAGTTTACTTAAAAAAGGGTGAACAAGATGATGATGCCATAAGTCAAGAAAAAAATCAGGGGAAGATGATGTGGAGGCAGCAAAAAATGTGGGAGCAGTGATCTTATAAGTAGGTGCATTGAGGTGAGTTTGAACATATGATCAACTTTGTGCCCGTTTCCAAAAACCTATCTTGTTTGAGAATTTATTACAAGACAACCACGTTTGTTAAATAATACGTCACAACTCATATCAACAAGTTGGCCAACAAAAAAAAAAAGTTGAAACTAATGGCAAGAACAAAATACGTATTATGAATGGATAGGGAAGGCAAGGATACAATACAAATATGACTAATAGGCATTTGAGAATTATCAATAATGTGTATATGATAGGCAATAGAATTAGGTTTGATAAAGGAGAAGAAATTTGCTTGACTTGTCATATGATTGCAACAAGTAGAGTCAAAATACTAAGTGGATTTACTAGTGAAGTAAAAAAGGCAATAAGAGGAACTGGAGATGAGTGTGCTCAACAAAGTTTTAAGTTCAACCGAAGAGGATCCCAAAGTAGGTTGAGAAAGATCACATGTTTTCAATCAAAGACAGTAATTGTAACCATTCAAAGTAATTGGGATAGATTGAGCAAAAAGATTACAAAAGAGAATGAAGGATAAAAACAACCAAACTGGAGATTGAAGTGCAAACAAAATAACTCACAATAGGAAACTAATCAATGATCTAATTGTTGAAAAAATAGGTATTGTATGTTTCATACCTATTGACCAAATTTCAGCACGATCTAACAATTAATGAATCCACAAACACTGATTTATTGAAACTACCCTATGGATATGGGAAAATAGATTTGAGGTGGATTGAACACGTAACAAAGGACGGAAATATTGATGCAAAGGAAAGTTAACACTCTTCGAAAACTAACTTGCCCTTCAAAAAATAATATTTTATGACTTTAGTATCATGAAAGCTATCAGAGATGAGAGATATAAACTAGAGAAAGATTGAAAAATGTCATGTATATAGCTAATAATGTGAAAGATACATTATATACATCAAGCATAAGATAACACAATAATTATAAATAATTATATAATAATATTTTCTGATAATGACTTATATATATACACAAAATGATAAAATATATTTGAAAAATATTGTAGATAACAATAATATATCAAATATATTCAACCTGAGATTCATTATTTGTTCACTAATTCAACCACTGATCTCGACCACTAACCAACATTCAACTTTTTATTCAACAATCAGTACGAGTAGAAATCAATAAATCATTGTCTCCCGTACGCAAACTTCAACCTCAATACCTACATACAGGCATACACATAGAGTACTCTCAGAAAAGCTCACATAACGTAAAAGCTCACTCAGAAAAGAGAATCACACTTTAACTACGATGTACGGTTTTGGATTAAAACTTAAGAGAGTAGGGTGTCGGTCGAAGATAGAATGGCAGTTTTTTCCTAACAGTTAGGCCGAATCTCTCGTTCATATCAATGTGTCGAACAGTTCCTCCATTTTCCGGAAGCTTTCAATCAAACAAAAACAAGAGATTAGCGGGCATGGATTCCACAGCAGCAACACAAAACATCATCCCAGGACACCTCTTCTTCCTGAACCAAATGGTATGTAATGGAAGTCTTGCCCTCTGAATTCAACATCGTCCATCTCAAATCTCTCAGGAATGAACTCTTCAGGTCTTTCCCAGAACTCAGGATTTGTATGAATTGATGTACAATTAACATCTGATCTAGCTACTCGAGGAGCCAGCAGAGGACTAGGCAGAAGCAATCTCAGAATTTTTTTGACCACACATTTCAAGTAATTCATTTGGCTTATGTCTTGCTCTTCTACCTTTGACTTGTTCCCCACCATGCGTCCTACCTCGTCCTTTGCTTTCTGCATTGCTCCACCATGGCCCACTCCATTGTTGCTGAATTGGCGTCGTTCCTCCCACAAACATATCCTACACCAGATGAAGAATGTTTAATCTATCACAATGAATCATTTCTTCCGTTAATACAAACCCAGGAATCGAGTTTTAGTATAAAATGAGAGAGAGAGAGACCATGAAGATTGATTTGAGCTCGTTTTGGGAGAAACTATTGTGAAGCTTGCCATCATCATGGAGTTGAAGGAGAATATCGAGCAAGATTTTCCTTTTCGTGTATTGGACATCGCTTCTGTTCTTCATCATGGTCCTGTGTTCTTCAATGACACCTTCAAAGAAATCATCTAACCCTTTGAAAATGGCCTTTAACCTCGGAATGAGACTAGTGAAAAAGTCAAGCCAACCAAAAGGAAGGGAAGTAATCTCCCACGCTGAAGGCCGCAAGGTTAATCATCACCTTCCTCGCTAGCTCTCCAATCCTTGTATTCGCCGCCGTGTTAAACTTGTCCCCAAGAACACACTTTCATACGATATCATTGGATGTAGCAATCAACAACTCGCTCAGAAGTTTCACAGAATCTCCACCGTAGTTCCCAAAGCCAACGTCAGTACATCCATAGAGCAAGATCTTAGGGCAATTACCTTGAGGTCGATCAGCGAAGGTAAGGTCATGGGCTTTCATAATTTCGCGGGCCAATTTTGCAGAAGAAACCACCACAGTTGGAGTCTGACCCAACTGTAAAGGCATTATAGGTCCGTATTTATTGGAGAGTGTTCAAAAAGAGTAGTGCGGAAGGGTACCTATGTGATGAAGATTCCCATGATGGGTAGTTTTGGCGGGGATGGAAGCTGATTCACATTCGACTTGGATTTGCTTGCTGTTCTAGTTCTGAGATTTACCAAAAACAGGGCAGTAATGATGAAGCACGAAAGACACAAGAGCAGGCCGTTTTGTTCCAAGGGAAAGTAGGGGTTGACAGGTGAGAGTAGAGCCATTGTGGTTTCTCTGCTCGCAACCTTCGGTTTTCGAGAAAGTATAGAATGATCGAATCATTTACAGGGGATGCGACATGGTATAAGGGAGGCGTGTGTTTTATAACTATTAATTTTTAGTGATGAGTTTCGTGTAAGTTTTAAAAATAAAAAGATGTATATGTAATCAAGTTAAAACGAATGGATAATTGTATCAAAAAGAGAAGATATCAATGTATTTTACTCTAAATCAATGATGTATTAATTAAATTTTTTAATATTATTTTATTTAAAAAATTTAATCATGAGAAAATGTAATGTGAATTTAAAAAATTTTCATTTTAATAGGAGTAAAATTATATTTTTATTTTAAGATAATTAAAATTAATAATTTAATCATCCCTCTTTATTTTTAATGAGGTGATTAGCTGCAGCTTACAATAGAATCATATGGACTATAATATAATACTACTATATATGTATATATCAAATAATTATATGCCAATCTTAAAAATAAGAAAGAAATTAATATTATAATTTGTACGCTAGTTATATGATAATCTCTTTGACAAGATACAACGCCTGGATCAATTATTTCAGCCCATCGCAATAGAGTTTGACTTCTGTAATTTTACTTTAAGGAAAATGAGTAAATGACAAACGAGAGAACCCAGAAATTCATTTAATTTTAAAACGAGAATCTTAATTTTGAAGACTACTCTTAAGGAACAAAAATAATCAAGTCCAAAGGCCAAAATATAATACACTTAAGACTAATTCTTTATTTATTTATAAGTTATCAGCCGAAGTTTCAAGATTTGTCATGCAAACTGCCAAACTTCCATTATGGACTTACGGTTGCACTATATGTGGTAGTGATCTGTGAAGCTATCATAATCATGGATGATACTCATTTATTGATGATATTACATTCCAAGTTGTATATCTGATTGCTTACATTTTATGCATCAAGTTGTTTGCTTATAATCATTACCTTTCCAATTAATTTTTGCTTTGACTGAAAGGTCACTCCCACAAATTAAACTGATGCTACATTTCATGAAAATTCTGTAACATGCATGTAGATATTTATTGGTTACTGGTGATTCAATTTAACTTAATTAGAGCTTGGTGTGGATAATATTGGAGGCTGAAGATAAATTTGAACCTAAAACTAAGCTTAGGCATCAGACTTCAGCACAAGATCTATCTATTCTATTTTTTTAATAAAAAACCTGTATACTTCATTAATCAAAGATCAACACATTATTAAAAACAGGAACATGAAAAGATAACAACCTAGTGACTACATTGATTAGCTTTCTAATTACTCAACTTAGCTTTCTTTAGAATCTGTAATGATCCCAAGTTTTAAGTATAGATTTAAAATTTATGATAAGATATTTTTAAATATATTTTTATTAATTTTGAACAAATATAACAAGAAAAACGTGGTGGCTTAGTAGAAATTCTTTCGGTGTCTATACCTCTGGAGTTGGATTTGAATCCTCAAGAAAAAATGGATGTAATAACCCAAGAAATAATGACAATTTAAAATTTATGTTAAGGTATGTTAATTATACTTTTATATAATTAGAGGTTAATTTGCTAAAGTAAACTGATGTTTTGGTGGTACACATTACCATGCTCCAGCTTCTGATCTCCTCGCTGTTCGTGCTTGCCATTATCATCGAAGTGGAGCTGTGCCATTCCAGTCCCACCAGACTTACAATTTCTTCTTTCCTTTCTGCTTGAAACTGCAGAGATTTTCCCCCTTCCTCTGTCCATGTGATCTTGCAAGAATTCAAACTTTCCTCCCCCTTCACCTTCGTCTCTCTCTGTCCATCGTTGGTAACCCGAGGAAAACGCCGAAATCCTCCTCCTTCGAAGGTGCTGTGGCATGCGTGCATCGGGTTTATCCCTCCCCTGTTCTTCACCGCGAACTTCTCCTCATCTGCTCCCTCTGTTTGAGCTGCTGTGACTTAGAGCATCAGGTCCTTCTTTCCCTCTCCCTCCATTTTCGGCATCATCAGGTTCTTCTTCATGTGGTTTGTTGTGGCTGATTTGCTATAAGGAATTCTGAATTTTTCCTCTTCCTTGTCTGATTCGTGTGTGTGAGTGTGTGTTTTTTTTTTTTTAATAATGGAGATTGTGATTTTTCCTTTTTGTGCTGCTGCTGCTGCTATCCGTGACTGTGTGCATGCGTATATGAAAGGGAAGCTTGATTTGAGTTGAAATTGGAGTTTAAGAGCATGATTTTCATTAGATAAATTCACTTTTATGTTGCTGCTGTAGAGGATGAATTGATTTGAATGTTCTTTGAGGTCAATCGATTTCCGTTGAAGGAATAATAAGATTAGGTTGCTTGGAAATTGAAGTTTGAAAAATTGATAATGAAAATTTTTAAAAAAGGAAATTGAAGACAGCGAAGCTTGGTACTATAATTGGATATTGATGCCTATAAAGTGTTTAATAAAATGCTTATTAGAAGAGTTTTGATTGATTTTTTTTTTTATAGATGTGTAATCTTGTTAATTTAATAAGAAGCATGCTTGGGCTTGAGCAATGTTAATTGGTTACTCTAAATTGAGTTTTGTGAAGGAATCTATTTTAGGAGTTAATAAGATATTGTTTGAGTTCTGGATTGTGGGGAGTTATATGGCTCACAAGTCATAAGACATATTATCAATTTAAAAGTTATATTTGGATATTTAAAATTTGTTAGGGTAAGATAATTAAAGGGTATAATATTTTTTTTATGATTTGGAATGTTGTATAGTAGGTGTTTTAACAAAAAATCTAAAGAGAGAGTATATTTTAACTGACTAGCTAACTATGGCTAGAAATCTTTATGGGTGAATTGTGCTCATAAAATTTCAAAGTTATTATTATTAATTTTGGCTGAGTGGATTCTCTTGGAAAGGAATCTTGTTGATTCAAAAATAAAGTTCATCAAGATACTATTATGTTTTATACGATATTTGGAAGAGGAGAAATTTGCTTGAGGTGGCAAGAGGTGATTTTTGAATTTTGGGAATACTTCAGGTAAGTGAATAGCGTCCCAACTAATTTATCAATAAAAAATTATTCACCCGAGTTTGATTTCGAGAATATAAATTTATGTTTTCATAGTGGTAATTTTCTCGTATATTTGAAAATGATTTAGGAGGGGATTTTATACAGAACATTAGTTGCTAATGGCAGTTCCATTAGCCCTTAACGTGCCATGGTCAATGACTAGCTAGTTTAATTTTTGTGAGCTCTGTTCTTGCATTTGTTTTTGTGGCTTCAAATTGTATTTAGTTAGCATTACCCTCATGGACTGTATGTCCACGTTTGTTTCATAGCTTAGGTTGCATTTGGTTACTTATCCTCATGAATTTTGTATCCACATTTATCTTTATGACATAAGCCATATTTGATTATTTACCCTCATAAATTATGTGTCTACATTTGTGAATTGTCCTAATAAATCCCAGAAATATGAATTTTTAATTAATTGATGATTTCACACACTAATGATTTTTAACTATCAATGTTATTATTTTCATTTATGTACTCATTTAATTATTTTGACATGTCAAGACCAAATATTAGAGCTATTTGGTCATTATGAATTTAAAGTTTCTTGATATTGAAGTTATATAGAAATTTTATTCTGAGCTTACAAATTTATTTCCATTGAATTACTTTCTCTTTAGTTTATGTAACTAGTATATTTTATTCACTTTAATGTTAAAAAATGTCATGGTTGGAACATTATTTACTGAAAAATATTTTTGGTGTCAGATAACCTATGCCTTTGTTAGATCATTCAAGGGATTTTGTTACTAAATTGAAGTTGAGGCGCCATTTTGGTTAATTTCTATTTTTGATGTAAAAATTTTTAAACCTATATATTGTACTTTTATAAATAATGTTATAATTGCTTCACATAGGTTATGGTTAGAATCCTTATTTTATTAAATATTTTGGTTTGCTAGTTGAAAGGAGATGAGGTTCTAGTTGTTATAATATTTGTTTGAAAATTTGTATTATAAAATTTTGTGAGATTTAATTCTCAAAGAAAATTCTGTTGAAATTTTTACAAAAATATTAAAGCTTGATTTAAATAAAAAGTATTTTTAAATGAAACATTTCTTGAATTAAGCTTAAGGAATATGTGTTTAGGTGCATATTACTTATTAATCACTCCTATATTTTGGGTGTGACAGATCATTAGCCAAGACTTTAGCCAACTAATTGGCTTTAATAATGTCAATGCAAGAGATTAAAAGCTTGACGCTAAATTGTTGCTCAAACAGTTCTGGGTTGAATAACAAGAATCCAACATCTGTTGGGCCTCTAATTAATTTCATACCTCCCTCCCCCTCTCATCAGATGAGACAGAAGAGCTAGAAGATTTATCCAAAATTAGTGAGACAATGATGACTTCAAAAGGTCGTCGTCACCTATTTGTTAATGAGTTCATTATATATTAATGAGCCTAATCTTAATGTGGGCTTGGACGAGTAAGGCAAGTCATGTTAATAGGCTGGATGCTCATTACGGAATTTTTTTTTTTTTTGAATAATATTACAGAATGCTCATTGCAGAAAATTGGGTTAGGGGATGTAGTTGGACACAAAGTGTTGGTGTGGCCGTGCGGAGAAAACCGTGACCTCTTTTCCTTTGATATTCATGCTTTGGCCTCCTCCTTTTTCTTGTAGTTCTTTCTCTTCCTCTCTCAGATATTTTCTTCTCTCTGTAGCTGCTGCTTCTCCATCCTTTTCTGCGCCTCTTATTTTTCAGTGACATTGTTCTTGAGTGTTGCTACTGTGCATGTATTTACCTAATTTTCCTAATTAATATTTGGAACTTGAGTTATTTGATGGCAAAATATTCAGAGACATTTCTTGAACTGCTATTTGGCTTGAGCTTTTTCGAGATAACCATCACATTTGATTTCAGAGTTCTGAATGATACTCGCTCTTATTTGATAATATTGCCATATATGTCTCCCCTCACAAATTCAAAGCAATAACAAAGGCATCAGTAACACACACAATAGTAGTATTTTCCTAGGCAGCGAAGATAGAATTTCACATTACATCCACAATTCATACCCATTATTCTTCCCATACACGCAACTTCATAAGCAGCTTCACATTTTAACAGCAAGTACCATCACAGACCAAACAGAAACCATAAACATGAAGCGAAATCATGAAGACGGATTAACCAGATTGTGAGTGGAC